GGAGTCTGACTTCATAATTATATACATAACATGTAAGAGTTATTAGAGAGTTAAGTTGTTAAGTTGTTATAGATAATGATCATACTACAAAATTTTAAAGAAAAAGACTAATGATCAAATTGATGCATAGGCATAAGCTAGTTTCTTAGTTAGAAATAATTGCAGACATAAACTTAATTTGTCTCCATAAAAATGTTATAAAAGAAATTTTGTTAACATTTTCATCACAATTACGAGTTTTTTTTACGAGTGATGTCTCGTATTATAAGAATATTTTATAAGAACTTTTTATGAGAGAGGATAATTAGAAGAATATTTTATAAGGGAAAAGAACTTATAAAATTTTGGTTTAAGACATAGCGTTTTTTTCACTTGTATCTATTCATTCTTATTATGAGAATAATATAATTTTCTCATGGTTGGAGGCTTTAGGATCACGATCTAGTCCAACAATAAAACTTAGATAGAAGGGGTGGATGATACTATAATTTCTGTATATGGTGGATACACCCTTTTTCAGGTAGCTGAAATTGGTATATACAGCCATGGAAATTAAGGAAGCACTTGTGGATTTAATGGGAGGTAGTGTTTGGTGGATGGGGATCATTTGTTTCAAAATGGTGTTCCCAATCTGTTAATAATATTGTGTCACGTCATTTGAAAATGTATATCAATCTTCACTAAAAAATATTTATTGCTATGAGTTTTCATTTATATTCTCTGATTGACTGAGACAAGGTTGATGACATCATTTTAGGACAGGTGATCCTCATCCATGTTTGGTGGTAGAAAGCACACATATGGGTCCACTTAAAAAAAATGAAAGGTTGCTCTGCATTTGCATTAATGTACAAGTTTGCAGTTTTCTCAACTAGATGATTAATTGTTTCATTAATATTCCATACCCAATTTTTTCTATTGGGTTTAGCATCCCTTATACTCTTTTAATATATTTTTGCCTATAAAAAATAGTTCATCACCAACTTGTTTCACTAATAATCATTATCTTTTTCTTTAGACCAAGAATTGCACCTTAATTGATTGCACCACCAATCCCTCCTGTTCCTATGAGTGCTTTGTTGAGAATTCTATTTTAATTTTAATTTTCCACCATGGGTTTGATGCCAGAATTTCCAACATCTTCACCTATTATTACCAAAGTAACTTTAGCATGGTATTTGTTATAGGTAATTCTCAATCCTGAACCAAAGTCAATTTATATAATAAATTTCAATTTATAGAATTATCCTACAAATATATATAAGTAACGTATGTAATTATGTATGATTTTAAAGTATAAAGAGATCCATTTAATAATACGGGGACATGTTTCGATCCAATCGCGATACGAGTTTGGAAATACTCGAAACCCAATGGGGCAAGGATGGTAATCTATTTTTTGCATTCGGGATCAGGGTTTGATAAGCATAATCTCTACCATATCCACCCCTTTGATATTCCTATTCTGAGCCGTGAAAATGGATATCAAGACTTTTTATTCCTTCAGCTCCATAAAAATAAGTCACTAAACATGGCCAGGGAAACATATACAAGAACCAAAAAACCAAAGCACTCGAAATAGCCTTGACCATGAAGTATAACCAAGAAAACTATAATCCAACACCTCCTACCTTTATAAAATTGATTTATTACTATACCAAATGGTTCCAAAGTATATGTTGAAGCTGTTGGTGCTGTTGAATTAGCACCAAATTTGTATTTACACAATGTGTGTACTATGTAGTCCTCAATTTCATGTTAATAACCTCACATGTGAGAGCATTGTTGAATCAGTTCTCATACATTACCACCTTTACTTGCGAAATTCAGAAACAATTTCCCTTTTATGTGTGATGCAAAATGGACACTTGCGGAAACGACAAGTGAATAAAGAAAATAGAGAATAGTAGAAGAACGACATCAACAATTTTAACCTGAAAAAACCTTCTTAATGTGAGAAGGAAACAAACACGTGACTTAGTCCAAAAAATATCTTCATTATAGAAAGTATGATTACAATATTTGATTCTTCTTACAGAGAAGATAACACTAATCTCAACCAAAAATGATGGAAATACAAACTCTCTATAGTATCTCACTAGGAATAACTAATGTGGATATAAGTTCTCTCACTTTCTCTATGTTATTCTTTCTCACTTGTTTGTTTTATCTCTCCGTCACAAGTTCCCTCTATATAGTGAAGAGAGAAGGCTTCATCATAAAGACATAGTGAATGATTAATTATTATCATACTTTCAAGATACCTTGACAATGCTACTTCAACTTCCTAAGTTGTACTTCATACTTTTTCAAGAGTCAATGAGCAATTCCAAGACCTACTCCAACTTATATACTCCAACTTTCTAAGTTGGGCTTCAAAGTTTCCAAAAGTCGTTCGTGTTGGGTATTACAAGTGTGAATGGAGAAGTCTCACATTATGGAATAGTGGATGAGTTTAAGAGCATATAAGTGGATAGACTCATAGACCTAATACCTTAAAATTTGGATGAGGACTATACATTTTTCAAAGAATGGTGAAGAGTGAGAGGTCTTGAACTCTTGATCATGATTCAGTTTCTAGTTTCAACAATATGCACTTAGTACATTTTGCTCTATGACTATTGTTAATAATCCACAATTGTCTTATGCTAGATTTGGTTGCTTGCCAATCAAAGTCTTGAAATTGTTAAGCAATAAAGTTCCATTCCATTTTTTCTCATTCATACAAATATTCTAGCTGTGAAATTTGCCATTTAGCAAAATTTAGATTCTAGTATTTTCAATCTCAACATAAGTCTAAACATTCTTTTGAATTGGTGCAGTGTGTTATATGGGGACCTTAATACCAAACTATTTATGAGGGGAAGCTATAAATCTTGACTATTGTGGATACTTGATCAAGTATAAAATCAGAAACTCCTTCAAAATTCTTAAACATTCAATTTTTCACTGTAATTGAACAACAAAGGTCTTATAATGCAAAAGCATTGGCCCCCACTAAGTTCCTTGAGCAGCAAGGAACACTTCACCTATTCCCATGTGTATAGAAATTCTTCAGCAGAATTCCATTGAGGAGAGGAAACACCAATACCTTCTTAATGTAGCTTAGCACTTGCTATTTCAATCTACAAGTACTTTCCTCATCAACAGAACTCCATTTCCAAACATCTAGAAATTCTTCATTGCCATGCTTCAAGCAATCCTAGACCAAGTCCAGTTCCAGCCATGACTCATAAAGTTCAGCTCCCATTAGAACAGTCTTCTGAGCTTTGGCAATCGGGAGCATTATATATATGCCCCATATTCACTTATATTGCCGGATTAAAAAGAAGACAGTTCAATGCACGAGGCTCTCATCTACTGTGGTCTGGGAAGTGCAGACGTATGCTTCCCTTTTCGGCAAAATTAGTTTGCTTCCCTGTAGTTATGTACTAAACCTTCGGGCTCAAGTGGTTCAATCCTTATAATGGTTTCTGGCACTGGCAATGGCACCACAGTTGCTTGTGATCCAACAATCTTATGGCAAGTATCAATGAGGAATTGCCTACACTTGGGGCAAGATGAGTGTGAACTAAGCCATTTATCGATGCAAGGAACATGGAAAACATGGTTGCACTTTGGTAAAAGTCGCACCTTATCGTCATTGGCGAACTCCGAGAGACATATCACACACTCAGTGTCCAAACTTGGAAGGTTCATCTCAGCTGAGTAGGTCACTATAGGGAAAGTCTTAAGCACTTTGTTCTTGATTCCTATGTTGGCTAATTTTAGTGAAGGGTTGGATGATGATGGGTCAATATTAATGACTAAATTTGAACACCTAAAGGCACATCTTATGATAGAATTCAACCCCAATGAGCAAATAACAGCACACAATAGGACTAAGAGTATTATGACAACATTCGCATCGAAATTTCGGCTACCAAGATATAGATTTGTTGAGTTGTGGATGTTAATGGAAGTTGTGGGGGAATTGGCTTGATTAAGTGGATTTTGAAGGAGTAACCTTCTTGAGTGAGAGTGTCCAAGAAGTTCATGGACAAAGTGTGAAGTAAAGGAAGTAGAAGCATACATGTTTGTTGTTGGTGTTCTTTGTTGTTCTTGATGAGTTAATTAGGTAGTTTACTTATATTGGTTACCTTAGGGGATTTATATATATAGGTGTGTATCTCATTTTGATTTAAAGTATGAAAATATGGTTATTAATTATTTGATGATTGTTTGCTTTATTAGAATATTCCACCTTGGTTTTTGGCCAGATTGGTGTTCTTAACTTTTTATCTTGATAAATTGTAAGATATATTTAGAAGCATATATGGATCTTTCACTATCTTCAAACTGTGCAAATTGTTAGAAAAGTATTGTAATTAATACTACAATCAAAGTCTAATACTCTGCATAAGTACTTTTATGCTGAAAGTGCTAGTGTGTAGTGGTATGATAATATAAATTTAATGAAGAAAGGTGCTAGTAGACAAATAAAGAGGGGCACTTTTTCTTGCTTTTTTGTCTAGCTTTGTGATGAATAACAAAGTGGAGTAGCATATAGTGATTAGATAGTAAAAGTGGAATACAAGGATAAGAAAGTAATAACCTCTTGGCTTGACAATCTTGAAAGGCTATTTGGCTATAATTATATTACAAGTGTCACTATTATTACTTGGATTCGTATCTTTGTGGGTTGAATCTGACTAGTGACTACTATTGCTTTTTCTCAGGACCCACATCAATGGATAGATAAGAAAATGAGAGGGGTAGGGGTTAGAAATTGAGTAGCATAAGCAGTATAGTCTTAGCTAACAAATATGTATTCATCTTATCATATTTTTAAGATGATATTAGACCATCTTGTGTTCTTGTATATTGTTCAAGAACTAGAATAATGGACAAATTGAAGCATTTGACAAATTAAGTGAGATAAAGATCATTTGTCTCAGATGGTATTTCATTTAATGTCTCAGACAAATCAGATATTGACACAAATAAAAAGAATTTTTAAAAACAAAAAGTAATATTTTTATATTACTTTCGGCAGATCGCTTAGCCCTGTTCATCTTTGGTGCAAGAGTGCTCGATCATTGAGCTATTACGCACTCTTTCAAGGGTGACTGCTTCTAGGCAAACCTTCTGGTTGTCTCTGCACCCCTACCTCCTTTATCATTGAGTGGTCATTTAGGGGCCTTAACTGGTGATCTAGGTTGACCCTTAAAATTTGATTAGTCCAAGATATGGAATATGACACCCTTATAAATAGGTGATCTTTCTCCTAACCTAATTAAGTGTATAATGTAACAATTCATTGGAGATTTTTTTATGGGGGTTGTGGATTTAATTGATGGAAGGTCTTATTTGTTCTTGAGTGCAAGCATATGATTATGGGGTATCCCATAAAGCTAATTGATCTAGATATGTAATTGGATTTGCTTAAATGATTCTCCTAATCCATCCTTCTAGTTTGAACAAAAATGTTACCCATAAGTGGAGAATATAAGTGGTTTTAGATTTAAAAAATGAAGGATTGCTTTGCAAGTAATCCCTGATCAGAATACTTAATTAGTGAGTTATTGTTTCCTAATATCTATTATTGTTTAAAGTTTAAACTACTCTCTCACCCCATCATCACTAGTAATCCTCGAACAAATTGTATAATTAGTCTCCTCTTATACACCTCAGTTTTCTCAAAAGATATATGTTGTTTCCTACGTTGTTTCACGCTAATAAAAACATGCCAATTCAAAATATTAAATCTTTATTTTTATTATTGTTTTTGTTTCATTATCATTTGTATCATATGTAACAGAGATCTAAAACAACATATTATGTTATACGCTGGTACTAAAACTGTAGTTGCATATTTTTTTAATGATGACTTTCATAGTTGGAATAATATACATTTAATAATATGGTTAAATAGATTTTATTTTTCTCATATCACGCCAGAATCTCTTTGCTGGCAACAAAGTGAGCAACTAGTTTGAAGAAGTCGGGTCCTCCGCATATATATATATAAGTGTGTGCATATACACTGATGTGATGTTATGAAATTGAAAGGACAGAAAAAGGACCATTACTTATAATTTGTGCAAATTGGATTAATTATTTCCTTCAAAGATCTTATAGTTGATCTTGCTAGAATTCTTTTTTCAGTATTGAATAATTCACTTTTTGGCTTTCACTGTTTTCTTTTCTCAATTTTCTAAGTTTTGATGATGGCCATCATTGACCAGATTACCCACTCCATAGAAGATTTTACTTTTGCATGCGTAGCATTGGTTAATGCTTAACATAGAAGTACCACTTCAACTTTCGTTAATAATTTTTTGCTTATCCAAAAAAGGCATAACATGGATACAACTTTTTAGTTGATTCTGTTATATTTCCCTTTTTGTTAAACTTATCCAAACATTCAAATGATTCAATGAAAGAAACCAGATGCCACTTACCGACAATGCTGTGTGCAACTTGCATGGACACTTGTGGTAGTTGCACCAGACATAACAATGGAACAAGAGAAATACTTTATTATTATTAGGTGAATTGTATAAACTAGGTTTCTCCACAAGTTAACATTTGGTGTTTTTAAAGGACAAATTCGTCATTCAATAATGTTTCTTTTTTAATAATTCAAAAAGATTATTCCATATGGTATTTTATTAAAAAATTATTGCAATCCTTATGTGGGACTTCTATTTCATTAGGGACATCTTTGTCATTGTATTATTCAGTCAATTCTCTTTACAGTAATATTACAAAAAAAAGACGGAGTTAAAACTGTAATTTAATAGGTGAAGGGACAAGCATGTGGAACACATGGCTCCTCAATTTCAAATGGACGGTGGATATAGAAGAAGGACTTTCGCCTTCTCTCTCCGTCCGCATTTCACCTTCTCTCAATTTCCTCTTCTCTCTCATTCTTCATTTCATATCCTCTCAATCTTCTCCTCACAAAACCTTCAAATCACCATATTGTTCTACCATGGTTTCCATTATGTTCTCACTATGAAGGCCTTAATTTATTTTGTGTTTTCACTATATTTTCTAATATTTAAATGATGATTACCATTTTTCTCTCATCATAATGATATTTTTTCTTCCCTTGGGGATTCCATGTTTTTTGTTCACTGCATTATATTTGTCTTTAATGATTTCGCATTTTTATTCTATCTTCATAAAAGATGACATTTTTATTCAATTTTGTCTTCATTTTTTAAAGAAGATAACATTTTTTTGGGGATTCTATGTTTTTTGTTCTCTGCATTATCTTTGTCTTTAATGGTTTCACATTTTTATTTCGTTTTCGTAAAAATGACATTTTTATTCTCATTTTTCTGTGTTTATCTTTCATAAGTTTCCATTTTTTTCCATGTTAAAGTTAGGTATTTGAAATTCAATTATCCTCCCATTAATTTACTACACTAACTTGAAGTCATTAGTAAGTTTATTTTTATTATTAAAGTGTCTATTTTAGAGATGTTTGGTTGAATCACTCATGATTTATTTTTTGACCATTTAATATTTTGGTTTATAAATTTATTTACCTTTTATCTCTTATTTGTTGATCATTTAATATTATGACCATAAAATATGATATTTTTATTCCATTACGTCTTCATTTTTTAAAGAATATGAGATTGTATTTACTTTTTGTCGGTTGTTGATCATTTAATATTATGATCAGAAGAATGAAATCTTTTGTATGGCATCACTGTTGTATAAAATTTATATTTTACACATATTGGTTATGACCTTTATTTAACATGTGACATTCTATTAGTTCGTCTGAATCATTTGTTAACTTAACACATATAAACTTTATTTAACATGTAACCTTATATTTGTGAATTTTATATTATGATCATAGTTCTTCAATCTTTTTGATGTGATCAATGATAAGTAGAATATATATTTTGGAGATTTTGGTTATTAGTTTTATCTAACATGTGACCTTCTATTTGTTCATTCGAATCATTTGTTAAGTAAACAAATATGAACTTTCCACGCATGTCCATCGTGGATAATGAATAATTTCCCCATCTCTAATTTATTTGTATTTTTAATTTAATGTATTATATGAAATAATACTTAAATCAAAACTATATATATAAATTAAAATATAAAATTATTTGTTGGTATCACTCTATGAATTTGAAACTAATCAATTTTGATATATGTAATTGCCCCTTATCTTATATGTATGAAATTAATTCATTTAAAATCAGATAATTGCTCCTCCTAAATTCACGGAAATAAAATATTTGACCTTTAGCTTACATGAGGATCTAGTGAATCAAGTCCAACATATAAAATATATAAAATTGATCATGACACATAATCATTCTTCATTTACTAAATTAATTTTGAAAATAGAAATTCACAAAAAAAAATAAAATAAAATAGCTATTGGCGGGACGGGTGAAATTTCTTTTCGACCAGGAACAAGAGACGGCGGGAATAACATTTGCTTTCACAAATTGAACCCTCAAACAAGAATTTAGAAGTGAAGAAAATCCAAAACGACACCGTTCCTCCGTTGTTTTCGAGATGGACTCCGAACTGAAAGCGGCGAGATCCGCCTACCGGAACGCCAAGGCGGATGGTAACCACCGCGAGGAGGCGCGTTGGGCGAACGTCATCAGCGATATTCTAAAAAACAAAGGAGAATATTTTGAATCCCTTAAATGGCTTCGAATCGATTACGAAGTATCGCTTAAGTACTTGCCCGAGAAAGACTTGCTTTCAACGTGCCAATCCCTCGGAGAAATTTACCTCCGTCTCGAACAATTCTCCGATGCACTGATTTATCAGGTTAATTTCCTCTTATTTCATACAGTAAAACCTAATTTCGGTTGTTTTATAACATTGCTAGTTTTTTTATTATAGAAAAAACATTTAGATCTAGCGAGGGAAGCTAACGACATTGTAGAGCAGCAAAGAGCGAGCACGCAACTCGGTCGAACATATTACGAATTGTTTTCGAGATCGGAACATGATCATCACTCAATTCGTAATGCGAAGAAGTATTTCAAGTGTGCGATGGAGCTGGCGGTTACTCTCAAGCAGAATCCGCCGAATAACAAGTCTTCGTTCCTCAAGGAATACATTGATGCACATAATAATATAGGAATGCTGGAAATGGAGCTTGATAATTTGGATGAGGCGAAGAAGATATTAAATCGAGGACTAGAGATTTGTGATGAAGAGGAGATTAGTGAATTTGATGATGGGAGAAGTAGGCTTCATCATAACCTTGGGAATGTGTATATGGAACTTAGGGTTTGGGATCATGCTAGAAAGCATATCAGAAGGGATATTATAATTTGTAACAGGATTGGACATTGCCAAGGGGAAGCGAAGGGGTATATTAACCTTGGTGAGGTGCATTATAGGACTCAGAAGTATGAAGATGCAAGGTCTTCTTACGAAAGGGCGCTTGCTTTGGCCAAGTTGCTGGAGGACGAAGATGGTTTGGTTAGGCAAATTGATCGGAATATTGAAATTGTGAAAGAAGCCATGAAAGTGATGGGTGAAATAAAGAAAGAAGAGCAGAACCTTAAGAAGCTTAGAAGAGCTGCAGCAAATGCAAGAGAGACACCACATGAGAGGAAATGTTTGCTGCAGACAATTAAGTCTCTTGATGGTCTCATTGATAAATCAAGGTCGATCTCTGTGTGGGAGAAGGTATTGATTATGTTTTCGTATATCGTAATAATTCTGTTACCTAAAAGCCATTTGTTTTGCAATGACCTGTAAGTTTAACAATGTGCAAATGTGGTAATTCTAGTTTTACTCTATGATTTCGGAACACTTATCTGTACCAATTAGGACTTTTTTGGTTTGTTTGGCCCACTAACGTTGGTTGGTGGAACTATGTGCACTTAGAGTTGCTCATAGTTAGTTTCCATAACCACGAACTTGTTAATTTTTGCTGTTACCATTGTTCTTTTTTTTTTTTGCAATATGTTAAGTTGGTTAGGGCACCCTTTTAGTAAATGGGACGTCTCGAGTTCAAATATCAATGAAAGCTTTATTTTAGAGAGGGTGAGCCTCAACGTAACACTAGGTAGTCAATTGTGGATAGCGGACGATCCCAAAAACACTAGAGCTGGATGATCGCTACAACTAAGAATTTTTTTACAGAGTTGAAGGGGAGGGGGAGAAGGGAAGAAACCGGGGCTGAGAGTCACATGTTTTCAGT